AGGACCTTCAGTGGGACAAGGACAACCCGTTGCTCCCGCTCCCGCGCCGCCTGGACCAGATGTGACAGTTACGGTGGCTGTGCTCACTATGACAGCAGGACAAGTAACCGTCACCGGGACCACCGTCGTCTCCTTAGATGTGGAAGGAGTAGGACAAGCCGGTGTCTCTACGGAAGGAACAGGGCAGGAAGGAGTAGGGCAAACCGGTGGTGCGCTGGGAGATGGGGAAGGAGGCACGGTACCGCCCCCAGGGGGAGAAGTCTGACCAGTGTTAGTAGTTTCAGTGACTACTCCAGGCGAGGATGGATGAGGGGTTTCAGTAGGAGATGGCTGTGTAGTTTCAATGGGAGACGTTGGGGGGGTCCCAGTAGGAGATGTATGGGGGGTCCCAGTAGGGGATGTATGGGGGGTCCCAGTAGGGGATGTATGGGGGGTCCCAGTAGGGGATGTATGGGGGATTCCAGTAGGGGATGTATGAGGGATTCCAGTAGGGGATGTATGAGGGGTTCCGCTGGGAGAGGAAACAGGGCCGCTGGGTGATGGCCCAGGCCCAAAGGTGCCGCTTGGGGGAGGACTAACATTGCCGCCAGTTGGAGGGACATGTCCGGTTGTCGTAGTAGCACCGCCAGTCGGGGAAGTTCCAATACCACCAGTCGGAGGAACGCCGCCAGTTGGAGTAGCAGTCGTACCTCCACCACCAGGGCCAGTGTGCGTAGTGCCGTCTTAAATGCCAGGGAGAGTAAGAAGAGTGCTTTCAGAAAATAAGGTAGTACCTTACTCACCTCCTCCGCCAGGAACTGTAGTACCACCACCTCCGCCAGGGACCGTAGTATCACCACCTCCGCCAGGGACCGTAGTACCACCACCTCCGCCAGGGACCGTAGTGCCGCCACCTCCTCCCGGTGCGGTCGAAGCCATCTTCTCGGTCAAGATAGAAAGCAGCGAGCTCTCAAGTGCAGGATGGCGGTTGCCACGCTCCTGCAAGCCAAAGTCGCGCTCCTCCCGATTATCCTCAGGGCCGGGCTGCTCTAGCGCCACATCTGGGACAGCCACGACACTCTGCAGGAGAGTCCAGCAGGCCAGCAGAATCAAGCATTTTGTTGGAAACATGATTCGGACCAACGCAAGTATGTGCAGGGCGATTGAGCAAATGTGGCCGATTTAGAGAGAAGAGGGGCCAATGCAAGTTCGCCGGTGGTTCCGGGTCGTTGTCGGATCGATGAATGAGCTGATGTAGAAGACAATTCTACCTTCAGGGCTCCTTAGATGGCAAGTTTAGCAACGAAGCAAATGCTCACCGGATGAGCTCGAGACGGGTGAAAGGAAAGCAAAGTCTCGGGTTCAAAAGGATGCTGGGAGGGGATGCGAGAATAACGTCGTATATGTAGCGAAGGTCTAGAAAACTCAATGGTGATGGATTGATGAACATTCGATGTCATCACGGCTACAGGACTGGCCAGGACTGGCCAGGCCTGATGTCGATGTTTGTTTTTTGGTTAAACTTTCCGTGTCTTTGTAGTTTCCGTGGTGAGAGCTGAGTCTGCTCCTATAGGAAATCATTCCCAGTGGTGGAATCCATGGCTGGATAAGGTACGTACGCATCATTGTGACTAGACGTTTACACAGGTCCGGTGCCTGTCGGGTATCCTGTGCGACGTGTTCTGCCCTGTTCAGCCCTGCAGGGGACCTGGACCTGAAGTACCAACATTTATGTTTTTTATATTGCCTCAATGGCGGCAAATTGTCTAATTGTAAATGCCACATGCGCAGTTCGATCGCCGAATGCACTTGTACGCTCAAGGGCCGAACCGAACACGTCGGAAGCGGTATCCGACTCGGCGAAAAATACGGTGAACTATAGAACTGAAATCACAGATTGATAAATATAGACATTAGTAGCAACTATGTACAACAAATCACTCAATCATAAACGCTGGATAGAAAATGCAAGCCGAGGGAAAGAGGAACTTTTCTATCTAAGCTCATCTGCAATCGTGAAATCGTGTCGAGATTACCAGATCAACCGGCGTCGGAGTCCCGGATACCGGATCCAAACGTTTAATAGATCGCAAGAGGGTGACGCCAGCCAACTTGGATGACCTTTACGGCGGTACAGCATGCAAGACCAGCCGCATAGCAGCAGACAGTAAAAGTAATAAGGCCCCAGTAGGACCCATTGCAGCGTGCTAGGATCTCACCCGCAATGGGGATTCCGGTGAGAGTGCTGGTGGCAAAGGTATGTCAGTTATGGACACGCAGGTGACATCACAAGGGAGAAAAAACACTCACCCGAAGCTCACTATGGTATAGGCAGTTGCGTAATACCGGCCATAGTTTTCGGTTTTGCAGAGTTGCCCGACACAGACTGGCGTCAGGCTAATATTGCTGCCGCTTGAGAATCCAAAGAGAGCGGCATAAACGATCAGCAGAGGCAGACTATTTCCAGCAGGAAGCCACAGGCAGGCGTTACAGAGCACGCAGAGCGCTACGGTCGCGATCAAAGTGTTAAACCGACCAAGGAAATCGGCAAAGAAGCCGGGAAGCCATCGGCCGAAGAATGAGCCGGCATTCAAGATGGCAATGATCTGGTACGAGAACTTGGTGGAGAAACCATGGTCGAGGGCGTAGGATGAAATGTAGCTGATTGGCACGAAAAGACCCCACTCAATAAAGAAGACGCTGGCGGTTGTAAGTACGAATCGCGGGTCTCGGAAGATGCGGAAGTCTGGAAGCACGTTCTCCTTGGAAAAGGGCTTTTGTGGGAGTCGAGACCTAATCAAGAGATTTGCAATTGATAGCACAATTAGGCAGATCAATGCGACAACCCGAGTGGCCCAGGCCCAGCCAATCTTGGGGAAAAGGTCTTGTAGGATGAGAGGAAAAACAATGCCTCCGACAGAGCCACCAGTGGCAGCAATGCCAGTCGCGACTCCACGTTTCTCATAAAAATAGTGGCCGATCGCCGAGATCGCCGGCGTGAAAATGAGGGATGCTCCCACTCCACCCAGTACACCGATGACCAGCATAAAGTGCCAATATTCGGTGCAGAAACCGAGGAGGATTACCATGGCCATTTGAAACACGGAACCCGCAAAGACTAGAAGCCGGGGGCCTCGAGCATCGAAGATGGGCCCGACTTGCACTCCACAAAAGAAAGTTAGAAATGCGAACATTCCAAATATCCAACCGTTGGCTCCTGAACTGTATTCCTTCAGTTGATGGGTTTGGATATATGCTTGGAAGGTGCCGATGGTGTTGACCAGGCCCAGCGATCCGAAGAGACCGAGGAAGCTGCCTAGAACTACCAACCAGGCTTCGAGGCCTCCTTCCGGGTAGGTGTTCCCTTCGGCATCTGTAGTCACTCGACTAACGGGGTCTCTTCTGGCTGACCTTTGAGACGGTGCCACGGTAGATGCTGTCCGGTATACATCCTGTGAGCTGGGCTCTTGCTCTGGTGCAGCCTCCGTGTCAAATTTCTCACTGTCCGTGTGGGCAGTAGTCTTCTCGTGAAAGGCTGCTGTGTTGCTTTGGGCGGTTGTGGTGCTCTGGGAGTTCACGATGTCAAATGCATGGTCGGTCTTGCTGTTGGCAGGTCCGACTTTGGTAGACATTCTATGTGAAAGGAGCAGCTATATTTTCTCTCCACTTGCATTAAGAGGGAAGTAATCTCTGAAGTTGAGGACGATGAGAAATTTGAAGGAGGGGAAGTACATATTAGCAATCAAACCTTCCAGACCTTAGAAGGAGTCATATGCAAACGTGCCCAGGTGGCCCTGAGAATTTTCCGTGGAATTATTCCCATTGGTCTTCAAGGTGAGATGGTTCGGAGTGAAAATTTCAGGGCGTGGGATCATTGGGTAAGGAAGTGGATCGATCCCGAGGTGTCCAAATCCAGACCCCGACACCTTGGGGATACTCCCCGTCTACATTTATGTATATGAGGTGCTATGTACATACTGTTCTATAACTAGATGGGGAATTCAGAGCCATGTCGGTTGTTAATTGAGCATAACAAAGTTAATATACATAACAGTTTTCTTTGGCATCATAGCATCATAGTTATAGAATGAGAATCTGTACTTGTCTTAGTTACCTCTATAGATTTGTCGGTGTAAAATATAATTCAATCTGTCGGCGATGGCTATGACGATTCAGGAAATGCCAAACTCCAAACCTCCGAACTTCCGAACTTCCGAATTCCGTTAGGCAATTTTAACTACATACCCGAAACGCTACTTACATCTGGGCATAACATTAACCATTCGTGTGTAGCATGGATTAACTTGTATCTGAGTATACAAAGCTCTCCAAAGCAATAGTGGATTGAATTGACGTACAGACAATATCAAAAACACGGGCTAGATCTGAATCGTACGAAACTAGGCAATGATTTGTGTAGATATATATGTACGACCATGTTTTGTTTTTTGACCGAGTGTCATCGGCTATTGAATTTATACGACTTTATATAACCTTCGTAGGCTACAAATTTAGGGGAAATGGAATGTTTAATATATAATATTTTAAAAAAGGTAGCCCTGTAGGTCTTGCTTGCTTAGGTGGTGTAGAATCTTGTTTGAGTAGTGCAGGAAATTGGTATGTGGCATTAAGGCGCCGCCCCTTCCATTGAACTGGGCTTGTGGTTTAGTGGTATAATACTCCCTTAGCATGGGAGTGGTCCGGGGTTCGATTCCCCGCGAGTCCATTCCTTTTTTGTAACTGTTCTGTTCAGTTGGGTAGATAAACAAATCAATTAACTTTCTTTTTGCTCTAAAAAGAGGAAAAACCAAGCACGTCTATCGAGAATAGTACCGAGCATATCAATAACGCCGGCTGATGCTCCTCGGCGAAAAAGGGGCCTTGTTAGAGAAAGCAACTCCCGCTGACCAGCCAAACATTTTCAAGCTAGTGACTGTGAAGAATTGGAAAGCTTGGCATGCTTAAGATCTATACCTTAACGGCAGTGGAAGCCTTGGCTCAGGTACACTCCGTACAACGGTCGCCTTTATTCTGGATCAATCAGATGGCAGTATTCCCCCCGGCATGTCGAGCCTAGCCACCGAAGGCGATAGGCGATGTTCACACGTCAAGGTTGATAGTATGTACAACACATGAATGATTATTAAGAAGATTCCTCGACTATCAGAGACTGATACGACCGTTGCATCCTCATGCGATGCTTAGCCGGGATAAGAAGCACGCCAGACCAATTGCGAGCTGCCCCCGCTTCTCACGCACGGAGTTTACTATCCCAAAGCGACGGATTCCGGCGATCTCGCCGGAATCCGTCGCTCACCCGGTCCCAATGATAGCTGCGCACAATGCGGCCGAATTCTTACAGCAACAATTTATGGGATTATCGTCTTTACAATCATCCAACACCGCAGATAAAACCATCGGGACACAACTAGATCAGGGACCAAAAGAAGTAGCGGTAAGATCCACAGGGGTGACTCCGGGATGGCCGAAGTCGATATCGGTGGACACTTGCCATTGAACAAGGGGTTGTGCCATGGTGGCGCAGAAGAAGCATCATCCGGCATGAAGCTAACGATTTCTTCCAATCATTCATTTTGAATCACTCAGTCTGGTAAAGTGGATTTTTATTAATTTAAATGGACCTGCCGAGTTCACGATTACGGGCTATTGGTAGGGCTTTTCGGGGGTAGTATATAGCTGGGTCCCCTCCGGATTACAAGCAGACACATTCAATCTTACTCCTGGCCCATTTATACTCACCGGTGCAGGATGTTACTCAATTCAGTCCTGACATCTGCTCTCCTGGCCCTTTCACTGGGGTCGGATCTTGCGATTGGTTCCAAACATGGACGCTTTGCAGAGATAGCTCGTGCTCCACAAGAGAAGGCCAAACGGGCAGTTGACGCTCGTAACCAGAAACATGCGAAATCGGACAAGGATTACCGCTTCTTGAGCAAGGACACTAAGCGTGCGTGTCGAGTTATACCATTGTCCGCAGCAAAAATCCTAATAGACCTATAGGGTACCTGGTGGACTCCCTGCCGGAGGTTCCATTCGATATCGGCGAGATGTATTCTGGTCTGGTGCCAATTGATATGAATAATAGCTCCAGATCGCTCTTCTTCATCTTCCAGCCCACCATTAACGAGCCTGTAGACGAAGTGACCATCTGGCTCAATGGTGGCCCTGGATGCAGTTCGATGGAGAGTTTCCTGCAAGAGACTGGTCGGTTTATATGGCAACCTGGTACCTTTGCTCCGGTCGAGAACCCTTACGCTTGGGTTAACCTGACCAATGTGCTGTGGTGAGTAGTTGCCATGCACGCGAACCCTCAAACCTGTTAACAGCCTACAGGGTCGACCAGCCTATCGGAACAGGCTACTCTGTCGGCACACCAACTGCTGTTTCACAAGAAGAGACAGCACAGGACTTTGTCAAGTTCTTCAAGAACTTCCAGAAGATTTTTGGAATCAAGAACTTCAAGATCTATGTGACTGGTGAGAGTTATGCTGGACGTTATGTGCCCTACATTTCAGCTGCGATGCTCGACGAAAAAGACAAGGAATATTTCGATCTGGATGGTGAGTTATCACGGACATCCAAAAGGCTGGAATGTACACTCTGACTATTTTCCAAGGTGCGCTGGCATACGACCCATGCATTGGACAGTTCGACTCCGTGCAGGAAGAAGTGCCCATTGTGCCCTTTGTCCAGCAAAATGCGAACCTCTTCAACTTCAATGAATCATTCATGGCGGAACTCGACAGGAAGCACAAATCCTGCGGATACGAGAAGTTCATCGACAAGTACCTCACTTTCCCACCACCCGAAGTCCAGCCGCCCATGTTAGCCAGCTCCTTTGACGATGACTGTGATTTGTTTGGCCTCGTCAACAGTGAAATATTCCACATCAACCCCTGCTTTGACGTCTACGAGATCAACCAGATGTGCCCGCTTCTCTGGGACGTGCTCGCCTTTCCCACCTCACTGGACTACCAAGCACCTGGCTCAAGCGTCTACTTCGATCGCGCAGATGTTAAGCGAGCGCTACACGCACCCAAGACGGCCTGGAGCGGGTGTTCCCTCGAGCCTGTGTACGTCGGTGGCGACTCCGGCCCGGAGCGAGAAGGCGACATTTCAGCCAATCCGATCGAGTACGTCTTGCCGCAGGTGATCGAGGCTACTAACCGCGTTCTCATTTCAAACGGTGACTTTGATATGATTATCATCACCAATGGCACACTCCTGGCCATCCAAAACATGACCTGGAATGGCCATCTCGGTTTCCAAAAGAAGCCAGATACCCCCATCGATATCAAAATGCCGGATCTCATGTACGCCGATGTCTTTGCGGAGAATAGTCAATCTGGTGCCGATGGCCCTCAGGGTATCATGGGTGTTCAGCACTATGAGCGTGGCCTTATGTGGGCTCAGAGTTACCAGTCTGGTCATATGCAACCGCAGTACCAGCCTCGCGTGGCTTATCGTCACCTTGAATGGCTGCTCAGACGTACCGAGGAACTCTAGTATCTTATTCGAAGAAGAATCCCCACATATGCAGATTTTATGGCAAGACATAATGTATAGAAAGTATAAGCGCTAGGGTCTTTCTATTTGCCGAGCGGAACGGTGCTGTTTGGGTTGTTGTTCAAGGTGAGAGAGAGACCCGTGGGATTGACTGTCATGGACGTCTAATATCTTGCTCGATTAGCCCTTCATTATGTATATAGAATAAAGTATGGCTGGCTGGAATCGGCTTCATATGTTAGTTTTGCACACGATACAATGCAAGTAATGGACCTCTATACTTTTATCGCACCCAAGCTTGATGCGAAGTACTTACAATCTCTTGCAGCGCCCTACAAGGTACTCCGTATAGCCCAGAGAAACCACGCACAACCCCTGGCTAGTTTATGCATGGCGAGCCGCTAACAAGTGCTGTGCTCAGGCAGTATGGAGCTCGAAATTTGGTCAGAGTTCCAGTTAATCAATCAAGTGCAATACATGGCCGGTTATCAGTTTTCATTTTAGAAAGAACCACAGTGGCACGAGGTACAAATTATATGTACAGCATGCCCTTCAACCCATTATCTTATAAGCACATTGCCCTGATGTATCTGCAGCGGAGGCAACAATTGCTGCCACTACATACGTATGTACGTTGTGAAAACAAGATAATCCATCAAGAACTTTCATATCGAAGTATAATCATCGACAGAGTAGTCGAGAGTCACTCATTCTCCACAGTGTACATATGTAGAGACCAAGGCGAGAACATGAGCGGTTGCCGAGCAGATAATGTGGGAGGCTACCGTCGGCATCACACCGGGCTTACCCTAAAATGGCAAGTGGAAGTAATTTACCCAGGAAGGTTAACCGAAGGTTACTGGGGTATTTAGAAGCTGTGATTGGTCGAGGGCGCGAATCTTCTGAATGCGGCATAGATGCGCCTCAGGATTCACGATCTTCCAACGTTAGTGAGTTCGACCCTTTTCTCTTCTGTTTTATAAGATTGTAGCATTAGCTTTTGATATTAGCAAGGATCCGACATTGTTATTATACTGTAGAATTTAAATTTTATTTTTGCATGTCTGGGAAAGAGGTAAGAAGAGCAAAATAGGTGGTGACGTTC